CTACTAAATGAAAATTAATGTTATTTGTCATTTTAAATTGTTACTTTTTAAATATTAACCTAAATTTAACATTTTTGTTAAATTTAATTAAATTATTGTTTTTGAAAATTAATAAAAAATTAATAATAACCGTTAAATTTAAATTGATTGCTTAAAAAAAATTTAAACTACGGAATTATATCAATATTAATTAAAATTATTTTAAAAAATTTATAAAAACTACGATTTTAACTTTTAACGTAAAACTATAAAACATGAATCCCTCTATCTTCTCCCATGATTTCATGATTTTCTACTATTAGAAGAGAAGTCATTGACGCACTTTGGGCACAATTCCCATATTCAATTTACATGGCAACTTGTTTACTAAACGAAAATCTTATCAATTGCGCTAACCCTCCCATGTCACAACACTTAGGATAAAATCGTTTTTGAGCATGACATTTCAACTTGAAATATGTGGAACATGATGTATTGCAGGGAATACACCATCAGGAACCTGAAAGAGGATATCCGGGAAGGAGAATTAAAAAAGCAAAAAAAAAGTCGAAACAAAAAATTCTCCTTGCTAGTTAAGTCAAGAATGATGCCAAAGTCCACTCAACATCATCAACGTTGAAAACTCTCCATCCCCATGTGTCGAGAGACTCAGAATATATGCTTTATAGTAGCCAAACGATCGACTTGACCTTGCAAAATACATACAGGCATTGCCAAAACTTCGTCTGCCATTGCCAATTCGGATATTTGGATAAAGAGTTCAATATGATCAACCTTCAAGCTTCAACTTCAATCTTTAACTTGAGCTGGAGTCCCCAAATTTTGGTGGAGGTAACATTTCCCTGTTTCACAGAGGTTCCAAAATTAGTATGGAGCACAAAAGCTTGGTGAATTTTGTTTTATAACCATCTTCCACGTGAAATTGTAAACAGACAGGTACCAATGATCGGTGTTATAGGTCTCTGTCTTGTATGTTTCAAAGCTATGATCACATGCCCATGAGTCATAGTCTTCAGACTCCTCACAGCCTCCATGAGAGTACAACTGTGAATGCCACGGACAAGAAAGCATCAAATGCTGTTCATATGCTTTAAATAAGAAGAAAAAAATTAGAAAGAAATGGATCCATCCATCCAACCATACACCCCGCAAGTTTGTAGGTTTTTTTTTTTTTTTTTTTTTTCAGCACAGAACTACAGACCTTATCAAACTTCCCAACCATTGCTGAATCAGCCTCATCATCATCGACCTACAAAGCAGTAATCCATCTCAAAACTTCTAGACTTTCAATTTGGAAAAACAGATGCAAATCTTTTCATCACTGCTTCTACTCTACCAAAAGTCAAAAGAATCTTTATTCATTCCATGCCTTTTCCTACTAACTGAGCTACCCCCAGTATGTTTGACAACAATTAATATTCAAATCAAAATCAATTATCATCAATGGATTTTGAGAGATCAAGGCACTGCTTATTTGCATTAATCAACCAGCCATTAACAGAAGTACCAACGCCCATCACCAATGTCGAGAGCCCTCAAAAATATATTTTTATTATGCAGCAGATAACAGTAAAAAAACAGAAAGATAATTCGTTTCAAAACTCCAAGTTTAAGAAAAAAAACAACAGTTTCAGGGCATCTGTTTAACTCACAAATTGTCCCGAAACTATCAATTTAATATCTTGTTATTATTCATCACATTGAAGTATTGAAACCAATATAGCTTTAAAATGACATTAATTCTTCAAATAGGAAAAGAAAAAGAAAAATTTCGACCTCCACCAACCTGTGGATAATAAATAAGCTCTTCATTCAAACCTTTTAAGTAGGCAGAATTTACTTTTTCAGCTTGAGTAATGTATGGTTGTCTCTCCTGAAGATAGCACAAACGAATATGACAATCAAAGTAAGAGTCTATGAGAAAAAAAAAAAAAAAAAATCCTAGAATCTTTTACAATAGCGTGACCATTACCTCCTTTGACATCTTTTTCCATGTCTCAAACCCCTTTCGATCAATGTGGATCAAGTTTCCTTTCTTTCTGCCCTCAAAGCTTTCCCTAAAAGCCCAACAAATTAATAGAACATGACTACATGAGTCACTTTATTCCACTACTATATTTTGCATGTTTGTATTTGCTTGAAGGTTACACACTATAATGCATTCAAATCTTTTTGGTAAATCCAATTGAAATTAGCTTCCTTCTGCCACCATATTTTGCATGTTTCTTTTTCTTTTTCTCAACAACCAAACAGAATATGTATTCAGACTGATGGTATGAATAAAATAAATAAATAAATGATAAAACAATAACTAGTGATAAGTAAATTAGAATAAAAGGGTGCAAGTTTATGGCTCACACATGAACATTAATTATTAAACATCCAAATAAAAAAAAGGAGTAAAGAAGCTGAGGAAAATGATCTTATAATGGCAATTTTGATAAAAAGGAATTTAAATTGAGAATGTACATGAAGAAGCGAAAAGCCGATCTGGGTTGATCAGGAGAAATGCGTTTGGTAACATTCTGATCTTGACCTTGAGAAATGCCCTTGAACCTCTTTACATTCTTGTTGTCGGTTCTACACTGGTGCATATCAGCCAAAGCAATCGCCACCGTCACACCACACCGGTCGCTGCAATACAGAAACAAATCAAAACCCCAAAACACAATAATCGAAAACCAACAATATCATCCCAAAAGACAATTTTTTTTTTTTCTTGCTCATATGGGAATGGATCCCAACAAGCATATGTATAGTACCACTTTTCAAAGGCACTTCCGTCAGCAGCACGACGAATTGCATGAACCCTTTTGCGCGTTCTCGGCGGTATCGCCATTGAAGCTACAGTTGAAGCTCTGGAAATTCTACTTTTTCAGTTTTATAGTCGGTATCAAAGCGGAAGGCAATAGTGGAAGAGGGAAAAAGTTGGCTTTTTGTGTGTGGGGCATTCCCACCACCTATTATTTTCTGCCACCTGGACCTGGCTGAATGGGTTCCATCCCAAGTGCAGTTTAGCAGATCCTACCTGGGGTTGGCCGCGGCGGAAAATTTACGCGGGAATTAAGTAAAAAATTTATAAAATGGAAAAGCCAATGAAGTAAAAGGGGAATCTCCCGCGGTGGTAAAATCCTTCCCATCCAGTTATTTTCCATTATAATTAGGACCAAAGTGGAGTTAACGTGGAAACATAACTCATTTTACAAGTTAAATACCATGATAATGGTTGTTGGAGACCATACATCGGCAATCTTAATTCTTAAACTTGTTTCCCAGTAAGAGTAGGATGAGATGATAGTTTTTAGTTATTTATTTATCCAAATAAAGAAAGATACGAGTCCATCCCTGAAACAATTAATGTAGCTCAACCAAGACAATTACTATAGGTTGTAGTTATTAAAAAATTTGTAGTAGCACAACTCTAAAATAATATGACTTGTACAAATTGCTTCATTAATGCAGTGGTAAAATCTGGTAGTAAGCATGCAAATGTAGCAATTACTAGTAAGTAGTAACATACTGTATGACAATTCTGATTACAAGGCAATAATTCTCTTCATCTATACAATAAATCACACAACAAAGACTTAAAGCACAATCATTCCAATATATGTTGCCTTGGGTAGACAACACAAACCTGACTACAGAATAATACATGGATTAAAAACAACAATTCTAAAAACTTCTCAAACAAAGTTCTCAAAGACACCAAGAGCAGCAACCATGACTCGAAAACAATACACACAAATGATTCAAATCTTCACTTGATCACATTGTATTTAGAGCTTGTGCTTTCTTCTTGCCTTGTTTTGCCAAGGGAAGAGATATGTGGATGAAACCAAACTTTCTCCTCTGTGCAAACAACTGTTTTTGATCATGCTCCCCAGGGTGTTTTTCAGTTTTTGCAGGAAATGTTAGATCCTCCCTTAATTCATGGAGCATCTGACTCAAAGCTACCTTCTGCCTTTCAGTGCGGCCTTCAGTTTGCCTTCTCACAACACATTCTTCAGGGATAACTTGCTTCCTGCTCAATACGTCTCTCATTGAAACTGTTGGCTTCAGAACAGGCTTTGAATCATCATTCAATAGCTCTGGGTGGTTGTCATGATGCAGTGGAGAATGTTCGTGTCCTTGAGCCAACTGGTGAAAATTGTTGAGTTTGCTTGCATTATACTCTGCCTCACCTCTCTGCTCATACCCTGGCATCCATCTCCTCAGAGCTTCTTCAGCAGCATATTGTTTTTTATTAGCAAGTTCCACTCTGTTAAGAGCCTGCTCTAAGGCCCATTTGCTAGTTTTAACTTCTTCTGTAGCTTCCTCCAACTTTCTGAGAATAGCCAGCTTAGATAAATTTACTTCAGTGAATTTATGAATAGCATGCACAACTTGTTTGTTTGACAGTTCCTCCTCAGCCTTTGATACTCTAGGGGTTTGAGGAGATTGCTCAGGCTCTGGCAAGGAAAACTCCGGCAAACTGGCATGACTACTTGATAATGCCTTCAATTCAGCAAGTGCAAGAGCTTCTGCTGCTCTTGCTGCTTCCTCCATCTTTTTGGCTGCAACCCACCTCATTTCAGCCGTTTTCATACGGTACTTGCTCTGTTCATTCCCAGGAACTTCTCGCATAGGATCAACCATTTTCTTGAATTCTCCAGTACTGCAACCCATTTGCATATGCGACATTGGATATTTGGTAGAATTTGCAAAATTCCTTCTAGCTTCTGCATCATTGGGAGTCTTTGGCCTCAGTCTCATCTGTTTTGCTTCCTCCTCTAAAGGTGCCACCCCTGCAAACTTAGAAGTTAGCCTCTGGCAGGTCTTTTCAAGTAAACTTTTCTCTTGCTTCATTTTCTTATTTAGAGATTCAACAGAAGTTTGAATCACCCCAAGATCATTGATAGTTTTACCAAGATTCATTTTTGCTTGTTTCAACTCCATCAAGATTACATCAGGGGAAGAAGCAGGACGTGGACTGGAACTCCCTACTATTTGTTCATAATGTTCTCTGTTCATTTCTTTGATGGCAGGGGCTGACATTTGATCATCCGAATGCAATTCCGGGGTTTCCATGCATTTCAATGCTTCTTTCTGCAGCTGTTGCTTCAACTCTTCCACAATCCTTTTCGTTGCTCCCAGTTCTTCCAGGACATCAAGCGTTTCCAATTCTTTCACAATTAGATCCTTCTCCAGCTCTGCTGCCTGTTCCTCCACTTTCCTTATGTCAAACTCCTCCATTTCATGCTGCTTATCACAATCCTCTCATATTATATACATCAGAGGCATACGAAGGGAACAGGAGAAAATAAAGCACTTGCTCTCTTTCTCAACTCAAATAAGTTGGATATACACTATATAAATACCATTCATTTGTACACAACTCAATAAATATATGAAATAACATCCTCTTATACACAATTCTTAGACAAAATCATTGTCATTCACTTTTTACTACTAATTATTAATATTCATCATGACCTTTTAAACAAAAAGACAACTCTTAGTGGGTGTATATAAGATTTGCTGATCTAATTATTAACTAGCCTCCAATTTTCTCGAGTAGAAACAACACAAATAAGAAAAGAGGAATCATAATGAGAATAAATAGTTTGGGGAAGGAAGCAAAATAGACAATCAAGCTATTAAATAAAACATGTAGTAGAATTAATATATGCAGAATTAAGCTAAGAAAAGCTTAATTTAAAGAAAAGGAAAGGAGGGGGCTAGGAACCCAAACAATATGCACTCAGAAGACTGGAACAAACTCGTACTACATGTATATACATTCCGAGACGTAGGTTGTAAGATTAATTAAGCATATATATACCATATACAGTTCTCTTAGACAAACCACAAACAGAAAGAGTGCACTTACATATGTGTCCCCAAACTTATAGAGCGGAAGCCAAGGACCGCTACCGCCAAACCGGGTGACAGCCTCCTTGACGGACCCAAAAGGTGGCGAGGTGTCGATCTCAGCCCGCAAACTCACCTTCCGAATCCCCGGCTTATTGGGTTCCCGAGGCAGCTGGTGCGTGCAAAAACCAAAACTCTCAGACCCCAAATCGGACCTGACCTCCCGGATCCCCGGCGTACCGGGAACCGCTTCCATGGGCGAGTCCCGAGGTTGTGCCATTGCAAACGAAACGCCAACTTGGGAGAGAATGTGAAACTAACCAACGGTGAATGCGATCCAAAGAGAAAGGTGCCTCCTTTAAAGAGTGTGGTTTTCGCTTTAATGATAAAGAGAAAAGCCATGATGAGAAATCAAAAATTTCCAGAGTGAATTGGTGATGATTGTGTCCACAGTCCCAGGCAGAATGCCAGAACCAGCAGAACCGGAGTCAGAGAAAAAGGCAACCAACACCCAACACAAATTATTATTATAACTTTTGCTTTTGAATAGCATTTGCCGACGTGGTTGATTCCAATTGGGTATAGTCAAAGAGTTGACTTTATAGACTAATGAGAGTCGAACACGTCAGCAATTTCTCGCGAGATTGAAGTTCAAAGTGTCGTCCACTTTTGGGCGTTAATTGCGGTGTTTTTGGGAAAGGTATTGGGAATGGGGAGGAGATTATGGAAATGGAAAAAGCAAGCAAGGTTGCTTTAAACGATGGCCGTTTGCGTGAAATTAAAGATAACAACTCCTTTTACTTACCGGAGGCCCCCCACGTCCTCTAATTAGTTCTTACCTCTTGTTCAAACCTTTCTTGTCTGCCTACTTTATTACGGTACTTACTACTATTAATTAAGTAGAAAAAATGTGTTTCTGTATTTTATTTTTTTTTTTGAGGAAAAGGTGTTTCTGTATTTTATGAAAATAAAAGAATAGATGAATACCGTATTATTCTCTCTGTTTCACATTATTTGTTATTGTTGAAAGAAAATTTTATTCTTAAACAATTGATATTTTAAGATATTTATATCATATTAATTATTTTTTTTCATATTTATCCTTTTCTTGTAAAATATATTCCTCCATTGATTCATTTGATCTTTTGTTTCTCATTTTTTAAAATAGTACTTTAAGTTTATATATAATAAATTATTTTTTTTATCGGTGTGTAAAAACCTAAATTGACATGTAATGTGAAACAGAGAATAATTAATTCGAATATGTATGGTTTGTATATAAAAATAAAAGTAGTTTGTCCCATGTTCTGCAGTTAGAAATACAAAAAGGGTGTGGCTCAGAAATATCAGAAACGATTCCTTCCAGTAATTAAGCACGTTAAAGAGAACGACAATATATTTTTGGTATTGGAGGCCTAAAAGCAAAAACAAAAAGGTGTGGGGCGAAAAAGTGAAAAAAGGAAGCTTCATAATAGCAATAATTATATTATTGTTACACCCTGAAACGCGTTGCTTTTCATATTTCTGATTCCCTTCCGTGTGTATGTTTGCATTATACTCCTATAGCTAGTAGTGCACGGACGCAAACAAACAAACAGGGTACCAAGAAGAAATATACTACTACCATGTGCGAATAGTGAGTATACATATATAATATAAATCCGTCAAATAGTCAAAGTCTGATAGATGAATGAAACAGTACGTAGTTGACGGTTTGCGGCGTTTGCCTCTGGTGCAGTCATCATAAAATATAAAATATGCTTGGGGCAGAGCATCCAAAACGTGAAATGCGCTCCTCTTTCTCTGCGAGACATGTCTAATTAATTAATTACTAGCACATTACAAATCAAATACTCGTAATAACAAAAATGATTCAAAACGGGCTGAAAGGAAAAACTCATATATAATATCATCACCATTCATCATAATGTAGGTTCCACAAGACCCAACATAATCAAGAGCTAGCCAAGATATTTTCGATCCATCGGCTATATATATATATATATATGAAAAACAAAGGAAAAAGATAAAAGGGTAGGTAGAGGAAGGTGCAACTCAGTTGATTTTTTTTTTTTTTTTGATGGGTTTTAGTAGTATTTCATGCATGATGAGCTTACTGACCGCTTGCGCACCGTCTATCTGGAGTGTGGTGGTTGGATTTTAAATGAGGCCGAGGTTGATGAGTGATGACAGACTGAGTTGTCATCATCATTAGCTCAGGACCAGGAATCAGGGGTTTTGGTTTATTCTGACTGCAACCCCACACGGCCCCTTTTGATGTAGTGATGGATCAACTTCTCATTTATTATGGCTTCCCTTCGGTCTTCTCCTAACCAAATTACTACCACATTCAACTACGTCAACGTTAAATTAAATTTCAACACTGCTCAACCGTTTTTTCAAAACCATTATGATTGATAACTGGTAGTATTTATCTAGCTAGCTAGCTCTATACAATTCATTAATAATCATGGTGTAATGTATATATGCTCTATGTCTCTAATAATTGTGGAATTAATTAAATTACTCCTAGTATATATATGAATAGACCACCGTATGGTTTGGTTTGCAGAGAAAGACAGATCCATCTAGCTAGCAGCTAGCTAGCTATATACATACATATATTCAATATTAATAACTCTGTCTTATCTGCATGCAGGGGATCGATCGATATATCTTGAATTTGTAGATCTGATCTGCTAATTAGTTCGAAGCACAATAATGCCGACTGGATCTCATGAGGATCTGCAGATTAAGCAAGATGACAAGTTCTTCTCCAGGCTTATGTCTAAGGAAGCTTCTACCGCCAACTCTTCTGCCAGGGTTTACTACGGTGGAGCCTCTGGTGCTGTTCCATTCCTGTGGGAGTTGCAGCCTGGCACTCCCAAACATCCTTCTGCCCACACCACTCTGCCTCCTCTCACTCCGCCTCCCTCCTATTACTGCAACCCTAAATCAAAATCAATTCAAAACAACAAGAACAGGAAGACCAATCTCATGGGCTACATCCTCCGGTTCCCCTGCAGGTGGAAGAACCACATGGAGACATCATCCTCATCCTCATTCTCGTCATCCTCCCCCAGCTCATCGGTGACTTCTTACGGCAGCTCACCGTTACCATCCATGACCAATATGAACAGAAAGCTCCACAAACGTGACTCTTTTCCAGTTTGTACAAGATCCGTCGACGTCGTTTGTGGAGTAGTGCAGGATGATGAGGAGGAAGGATGCGGATTATCACCTACTTCAACGCTGTGCTTTGGGGTAAAAGTAAGACGTGGGAGTCTGAAATTGGGGTTCCAAGGTTGCTACTCCAAGTCCAAGAACACACTGATGTCCATTGTCAGCCCAAGCCACAGCCTAAACAATTAAATTGCTTCTACCTCTACCATTACTTTCGGCATCAAATCAGGTTATATTTTTGTTGTTTTGCTTTATTTTACCGGTTTATCACCATCATAATTATTAAGTACTACATTTGTTCTGTATTTTAGTTTGGGTTTGCATGCATCTGCCATTCTGTCTTGTAGTTGTAAACAACTTCCAGACTAGTTGACAAGTTAAAAGTACTGTTTAACGTTCCCTTTGTCTGGGCTGCGAAATTTCTCCATCAATGAATAACTTTTTCAGCTCAAAATCATCAACATTAAAATATCAATAATAGTGTAGCTATGTTAGTACTGTCGAATTAAAAATTTTCATTTATAAGGCCAAAGTTTGTATTTCAAGTTAACTCTTATAATGAATACGAACTGCTAACTCTATATTTATGTCAAAATTATTTTACATTAATTAAATATGATTAATATTGTCATTTATTAATATTGAAACTTTAATTTAAAATTAAAATTAATAAAATAATATATTTTCAAGTGTGAATAGACTACCCACCACTAACATATATTCATTTGGCTGGAAGTAAAGCCATATGGGGACCATATATATATTAATTAAGTTTTGAAAATAATATTTATCTCTCTTATTTTTTAAAGATTAAAAAAAATATTATTTTAAAATTACGTCATTTTAATAAATACATATTGAAAAAGATTAAAATATTTTATTTTTAAAATATAAATTATTATATTTTTTATTCTTTTCTTTTTTAATTTTTTTAAAATAAGACAATAAACACTAACCCTTAAGTTTTTACCAGTATTTATTTTGTTATTTTAGGGAAAATGTTTTCTAAGAAGGAGAGGAACGGTTGGGCTTGCACGTGTCACGTGGTGAGGGAGAAAGTGAATGGTCCCTTTAACATTAGGCGATGAAAGGGAAAGGAGAGGCACCAACATGTGAATGCATTAATTCTACCACTTGTTTCTATGCCCTGAACATTTAATTTAATTGCAACAGACACTTTCCTATGGCCTATGGGCTTCACAACATTAATCCACCCACCTACACAACTGTTTTGGCTGTGGTTATGGCCACAGCATGGCAACATAAATTGTTTAATTTTTATTTAAATTTAATTATTAAAAATAGTTAATAGTAATTAATAAAATAATAAATATTTATTATTTAATAAATTAAAATTAGTTTTTAGAAAAAATATTTTGAGACCTTATAATTAATTGTTTAATAAAAAAAGTTACAATATAAATTACTTCTTCTATTATAAAATAATAGATCTTTTAATTTAAAATTTATTTCAAAATAACAGTTATTTTTTATAGAGACAAATATATACATATATATTTTTAAAAATTAAACTTATCAATATCTTTTAACTTTAATTATCCATTTTATAGTAATTTAAGTCTCATTATTTTTATTTTTTTATGGTAATACAAGTAAAAATTATTTAACCACATCTCCCTTTAACAGTATATTTGGCTTTAGAAGGAGAAATAAAGGAAAGAAAAAATTTTTCTCTAAAATTGGAGGAGAAAGGAGGGAAAATTTTTCCTTTATTTTTTCATTTAATATATTTATTTATCTTTTTTTAGATGAATCAAAATTATTATATGTAGGAGTACAAGGGGTACTCAACCCGTAATATCAAAAAGTCATAGCAAATACAATAGAGAATACATTCGGAGATAATGAAAGCATCCTCAAACTATGAAATCGTTCCAAAAACTAAAGTGAGGACTAAGAAACTTCAATGTTAAATCTACCTCTTGGGAATTTCTTGGACACATGTACTAGGGGAATTGCACCAATAGAAAAAAGGAAACATAGTGTTAGTAGATCTTCCCCTTATCCAAGCAAATGTTCTCCTTTGAATTAAGTCAAAAGTTTTATCCTCATCCCATTGTTGTGAGTTGTGTATAATAAAGTTCCTTGTGTACCATATAGACCATGCAACCACCAAGAAAATCAGAAACCAAACTTCAGAATTTACCCACTTTTTGATCCCTATACTGTGAGCTTCACATAAAAGAGAAATTGTGTTAGGCAGGGTTAGGGATATCCCCCACCAGTTGTAGCATCTCATCCACAAACTTTGGATCTTTGGGCATGTGGCAAACAAGTGGTTGTCATCCTCCAATTCCTTTATACAAATGCAGCAAAAAGTCTCCTCCTCTTGAAGCTGGATACCTCTTTTTAGTATCCCTGCTTTCGTCGAAAGTCCCTTCAAAATAAGGCGCCACCCGAAGCAGCTGATCTTGGACGGGATCAATTTGCCCCAAAGCTTTCTGCAGATTCTTGTCTCTACTAATCTATTTTGACCAGCCATCAAAGAATAGGCCTTGCGCACCGTGTAGCCATTTGCGGTATCGAAGCTCCATCTTCTTTGGTCTGGTTGGGATGATAACACTAGCTCTCTTAGGATGATCTCTTTGATCCTCTGTTCTTCGTCCCTTTCCCTGCCAATAAAATCATGTCTCCAGATGTTTTTCCAGATCCAAGAGTCGTTAGAAAACTGCCCCACTTCCATAACTAGGGCGTCTTTGTTGGAGGTCAAGTTAAATAATCGAGGGAAGGAAATATTTAAGGGTTCGGTTCCTATCCATTTATCCACCCAGAATTTGACTTTATCTCCCATTCCCACCTTCCAGCCAAAACCTTCTTTTAACACTCTTGAGCCGTTACCCCCCTTCTCTCCTAATTCTACAATATTCCTCCATAGGGTGGACACATTCCTAAGTTGAGTTTGGTTGATATCCCACACGGACCCTCCTCCATAGAATTTATCAATAACAACTTTTTTCCATAAGCTGCCTTCTTCCTTCCCAAATCTATCCCACCACTTACCTAGCAACGCAATATTTCTATAGTCAAGATTTGGCACTCCTAGTCCTCCCTCACTTCTATTCCTACACACTTTCTCCCAACTTAACCAAGCTAATTTACTCTTGTCCTCCGTATAACCCCATAGGAACTTCCTTTGTAAAGACACTAAATCATGGAGCACAATTTTTGGAATTCTAAAAATAGACATAAAGTAAATAGGGAGGGCAGAGAGAACCGACCTTAGCAACGTAACTCGGCCACCGATCGATAGGCTTTTTGCTTTCCAGACTGCCAGCTTTTTGGAAAAATTATCAATGACTGGTTTCCATGCTTTCCTTCTACACATAATATCCCCAACTGGCATCTCGAGGTACGTAAAGGGGAGAGAACCTGATATGCAATTAAGGGCAGCGACAGCCATTCTTCCCCACTCATCAGAAGCATTAAATGAGTAAAGCACACTCTTATTGAAATTAATTTTCAGACCTGACAGCAGCTCAAACCATCTCAATATCCCTTTCACTGCTTTAATGTTGTCGGGGTCTGCCTTCCCCATGATGACAGTATCGTCAGCAAACTGGAGGTGTGAAATGTTCAAACCAAAGGGCCCTACATCAATTCCTTTGAGAGCTTCCTTGCTAATAGCTGATTCAATCAACACATTTAAACCTTCAACAACAACTAAGAAGAGGAACGGGGCAATCGGGTCTCCTTGTCTGATCCCCCTCTCCATTTTGAACTCTTCAGTTGGACTTCCATTAGCGAGGATCGAAATTGAAGCGGTTTGCAGACATTCCTTTATCCACATTCTCCATTTTTCACCAAAGCCGAGTCTCCTCATCATTTCATCTGAGAAATCCCAATTTACACAGTCGTATGACTTTTCAAAATTTCCTTTGAAAATGAAGCTACTGACTTTTTTTTTCTTTATCTCCTCTATCACCTCATTTAAAATCAAAACACCATCAGTGATCTGTCTTCCTCCCAAAAAAGCAGATTGGGTCCCACTTATCACCTTGGGTAGTACTTTTTTAATCCTGTTTGCTAAGACCTTGGAGATGATTTTATAGAGACTATTAATCAAGCTTATAGGTCTATAGTCTTTTAAATCTTCAGGATTTGACTTTTTTGGAATAAGGACTATGAATGAGGAGTTTAGCCCCCTTACTAGCTTGCCGTTTCTGGAAAAATCCTGCACAAATTCAACAACATCTTTCTCAATCACTGTCCAACAAGCTCTAATAAGATGGAAGCTGAAACCGTCAGGACCAGGGGATTTATCACCTCCACATTCCCACACTGCTTGTTTCACCTCTTCTGCTGAGACCGCCCTTTCCAACCAAATTCTGTCCTCCTCAGTGAGTTGTTTAAATTGTAACCCATCTAGCTTTGGCTTGTCCCACTGGTCATCTTGAAAAAATTTTCTAAAGTATTCTCGCACTTCTTGTTTCACAATGTTGGGTTCCTCCACCCAAGAACCATCCTTATGAATGCCTCAAATCATTTTTCTCAGCCTGTTGCTATTAGCTATTCTGTGGAATAACTTGGAATTAGCATCTCTTTGCTGGATCCA